AGTATTCCCGACAAATTTTCCATTTCTATTTATATATTTCATAATTTCTAATAATTGGTGTCGACTCTTTATTTTTTGTATGTATTTTACAATTTTGTTGTATTAATTACTCTGTATTAAACAACAATTACACATGAATTATTGTTGTACTTTATTACTTCCTTAGTTTCTTTATAGTTGCAACACTTCCCTAAAGTGAAAATGTCACAATAGTTGCAACACACTATAAAAGGAAGGTTTTTATGGTGAAAATTGTACTATTACCTTTAATTAAAGCACACCATGGCCCACTTGATTATACTCTTAACAACCTTTTAACCCCATCTTAAGTGTATTATAACATGTGAGGTCCACTTTTTAAAAATATTGTGATAAAGTGTGTGTTTGCAACTATAAAGAAACGGAGAAAGTATATAATTTAGTAAAGTACGTACGTGCATTGCATGGAAATTTAACTAGTTTCTCCTATATGGATAAGACATAGATTAGGGAAAGGAAAGAAAATTATAGAGGAATTCCCTCACCTCTCTTTTTCTTACCACTTTTTCCATCCTCACCTTTCTTTTACTTACCACTTTTTCCTTTCTCTGCCTTATCCCTTCACCATTTTCATCCAAACATAGATTTATTATGGAGTAATGTAAGTAAACAATTGGATAACAAAAAAGGAAGGAAACAAAGGGGAGGTGAAAAAGTGATGTGTCTATTTTATATAGTATTTTACCCCCGTCCCTTGGTCGTAATTAGTAGTGTTTTTGGCTCTTTAGAGCCACTTTTATTACTAATTGGTGTTTTCTAGTGTTTTCGTAGATTTGGTTGACTTTTGCAGGGATTTGTACTTTTGGAGCATTTTCCCGAGATATTATGGAGCAATCACGAGCATTGGAGAAACACGGCCAATTTTTATAGCCCAGGGCCGGTTAGAGCCATCGAACCCGTGATTAAGGGCTCGATATATCTGATACCGGGGCATTTGGACCGAGTATTCAAGACCCAAAGAGGAAACCCAGATTGGCCCGAAGAATTGGATCGTAGTCCAAATATTGGCCCAAGAGAGCCGCCTGGCCAAAAAGGCTGGCGCCCGGCCGGGTGAGGGAAGCAAAGGTCGACGCCCGAAGTCGCGCCCGGTCGGGCGCAAGAATTGTACTTGAGAGGAAAAAGGCGCGCCCGATCGGGCGCGTGTAATTATCAGGAGTTAATTTTGACGTTTAAGTTTGTTTTAGTTTAGGATTCTTACGGAGTATAAATACTTCTCCGTAAAACGAGTTTAACACTCTCTTCTTTACTCTCTTAATTATTTTCTTAGATTTTCTCTCTCTACTTAGCTTTTAGATTAGTTTCTCTCTCTTATACTTTGTTCTTAATTTGATTCTTAATTCCAGATTTATTTGGTAACGATTTCTCTTCTCTTAATCTTAGTTATTTTATTTTATTATTTTGATCATGTCTTGTTTTATTGCTTTGATTAGTTTAGTTTCTATTATGTGTGAGTAGTTCTATTTCTAGGGTTTGTGGGGATCCATAAATAATATGAAGGGGTAATTTATTGTTGTTGATTGTCAATGCTAGATTAATTTCTTATTGATTGATTTAATGCTCTGTGACTAGATTTGCGCAGATCTTTTATGCATGAGTTTAACAATATTGATTCGAGATTCGACATATGAGAATTAATGTTTAGGTCTAGTTTCAATAGGCAGGTTAATTTATAAATGGTTAAGTCGAGATTCGAAAGATGAGATTTAATACTGGTAAATTAATTGTGTGATTGTAATACGTAGCGAAAGCCCTTTACGATCTGATTAATGTATACATTGATGATTGATTATTATGTTCTACCATGGAATATTATTTATTGGTGAACCTATGCCCTAGATCAATTTATTCTTTGTCTTCTCCTTATTCTTAATCTCCGTAGTTTAGTTTTATATTTAAATTTACATATTGGTTACTTCATAATCTAGATTATATTAGTTAATTAGGAATAGAAAGACTCGTTGCTCTGTGGATTCGACCCTACTTCCCTATCTACATTAGTTAGAGGATTTAGGAATTACTTTTGATTAGGAGATACGACTTTACCCTGTCAAAAAAGAAAAAAATGGAAGAGGATGGGTGGGGAAAAGTCAATTTCATTTCTCTTCCAAATCTCTCTAATTTGGATGGATTGTGCTTAATAAAGAGAGAGGGAAAATGGATCCCTCCCTCTACTTCCCCTTCATTTCCCTAATAATAAGAGATATTGTACATCCTCTACGGGTGCTATTCGGTTTTCGGTTTGGATTTAGGCCAAATCCAATTTGATTCGAAATAAATTTTTGATTTTTAAATCCAATCCGAACCGAATTTCTCATGAATCCAATCCGATCCAATCCAAATTAAAATTCGGTTATTTGGATTTGATCCAAAAATCCAAATTAAAATACAATGCAAATTTTTTAGGGACTTAAGTGATTATAAAAATAAAAATGCAATTATAAAAAGCCTAGTCTGAAATACATAGTTCTTCTTAATTAATACGGTTATTAAAAGCATAATTTTACATAATTTATATTAATGTAATCATCAACAAAATTTTACATGATTAATGTAATGTATCCTTATTTGTAAAAGCATGGTTTCATATTTTGGTTACTTCGGTTTTTTGGTTCCAAATAAGGTTAATTCGATCCGATCTGAAAATCCGAATTTTTAAAAAAAATTCAATCTAATCCTATATGATTTATAGTTTGAATCCGATCCAAATTAATAATTCGGTTTGGATTGAATTTCGATCTTTATTCAAATAATGGACACCCCTACCATCCTCCTCCATTTTTCGTCTCTTTTTTTCCTTCCATTCTTTCTATCCAAACAAAATATAAAAATACACAATCTTTTTGATGTAAAAAGGTCATTCAACTCCTACTAAGCCCTATTCCAATGTTTGAACAAGGTCCTCTTCTTATAATTACTTACTTGTATTAATCATTCTCAATTGGGATCGTTCAAAAGTATTTTACATTTTCTATTATCCATATTTTTTAATTTTTTTTTTCTGGCTCTTCATTTTATATCTTCATCATCCCTTTCTGTTTGTAACATTTAAATAATTACATGACAATTCTTACTTTGTGGAGTATAAAATATTCTTTGATGCATTGATCAACACTAATGAAGCCAAGGTGAGAGAAAATAAAATCAATAAAAATTGCTCATCACCAGGGTTCTTGAGTGAGTCAAAGTTCCCTAAGGGTGATAATTAACAAATTTTCCTTTTTTTTAAAAAAAAAAAAAATTATTTTTAATCTTTTATTATTTGGATAAATAAGGGCTTAACATGTGTCATGTAACTTGTTATAATAAGTTGTTGGCTTTTGTTGTCATGACGTGTTAGAAGAAAAAGGAACGATTTCCCTTAAAATTGCTTAAAGGTAAATTTATTCCCTATATATATCGGTTTATTAACTTATTCCAATGATATTGTCCAAGTAGGATTAATTACTTGGTTAGACCTTTGTAATTTTTTTTTCAACATAAAACCACTAACGGTGATAGGGGTTCTACAATAAAACCGCTAACACCGCTAGCGGTTCTATTAGACAAAAGGAAGTGAAAAAGAAATTTTATGTGATATTATTTAATTATTAGAACCGCTAACTTAATGTACAGAACCGCTATCACCGTTAGCAGTTCTATGTTTAACTAGAAAAAAAAAATTAAGAAGCTCTAATCAATAAATCCTATGTGGATAACATTGTGGGATTAACTTCTCAAATCGATGCATGTAGGGAATAAATTTATGTTTGATCAATTTTTAGGGAGATCGTTCGAAGAAAAAACCCTCAAAATTGGAATTATTCTAAAATAATTAATAGTTGGGATTAATAGAAATAAATAACCCAAAATTGGGATTAATATACAAATTTTTCCTTTAAAATATCAAAAAATTAAAAGAAAAAGAAATATGTTATACATAGCCCTTAAGGCTATATATAAGCATTAAATACACAATAGAAAATCGTATAAATTTAGGAATCATAAAAATATATACACTAATTACACTGATTTACACGGTTTTTTTTTTTTTTGTCATGAATTACTAATTTCATACGATATTTAAGAGGAAATACGAGTTTATAACCTTTTGTGGTGTATATATATATAAATTATATCTAACTTTGGTTATTTGTTGTTTTCTCTCTCCTCTTTTAACTTTTTTTTGTATTTTCTAGTTTTCTCTCTCCTCCTTCAACATTTTGTTGTTTTCTCTCTCCTCTTTCAACCTTCAATTTCAATGGTGTAAAATACACTTTTATAGTATATGACGAAGGGATCAAATCCTGCATGTTTTTTTTTGGAAAAGCTTATCAACCCTTTAGGTTAACCATGGCCGTTATTTTCACTTTATTATTTGGTTTTCGTTTGTCGCCTGAAGTGATGATGCGAAGTCGAATTTAATGGAGGAAGGAAAACTCAGTTACTCTTTAAGGGTTAACCATGTCATTAATTTCTCCTTTTGTTATTATGGTTTTCATTTTAGCGGCGAAAATGGGGTCCAACGGACTTGAAAGAGAAGGTGAAAATGGGCAGAGATTGGAGGGAGAAGATTAAAGTGGTTGAGAAGAAAAAATATGAAAAAGAGGAAGAAGATGATTAATAGTAGCAAACGGAGACTTAACAGTTTTAACTTTGAAAATCTATCCAACTTGTCATAGTGCGCCACAAACAGTAAAAAAAATATATTTTGCCATTTGGTAAACATAATTTGTTTATCTAGGTTATAAAATGAGGCTTGCTCAATTTTTAATAGATTTTTTTTTTTTTTTTTTTTTTTTTGTGTTTGAAGGAGAGTGCATTTAATTGTTTATACTACCTCTGTTTCATATTATTTGCAACGATTAACAAGACAAATATCTCTAACCTATCTTTGACCACAGATATCTTTAGTATCACAAAATTATTAAAGTTAAATAATAATAATAAACTCATCAAGACGAATCAAAATAGATAAAATCAAATATTCCATCAAGAGGAGGGAGTAATACAATGTTAAGAGTTTATTGGACTAGGGGTTTTTAACAAGGCTCAGGTTCAGAATTTACCCCCATTGACAAACACAATTCGACAAGGAGCTGCCGGAAAAATACAGAGCATCCCACTGCATTTTCCCAACAGTACAATCGAGGTGAAAAAAAAAGTGATTTTTCTGAAAACCCACAAAATAAAATACTCTGTAAAAACAAACAGAAAACCCTCAAAAGCGTATAAACTAAGCCAATTATAATTCTTCGACAATCCAACCCAAATTTATGCATACTGATTTAGATAATCTTCAACTCGAGGACGCTCAGCAAGCTTGCACTGACGTTCCAATGGCGGAATCTACTGTCAACAGCCGCACCAGAGACCTTGACCGCCTTCTGCTGCGCGCCGGCCGTCTCGTCGATCCTAACTTTCAATCCTGTATTGAGGTTTGTTGCTCTCTCACCCCTTTTGGCTCTGTGATCGATAAGTTTTGATTTTGGTTTAGGCATTTTTACAAACAGTAGGTGTGCGTAAAGGTTTTGACTTTGTCTTCTTTTATGGGGTGGGTTTAATTTTCGTGGGTTTTGATTGAATTTTGCAGTTGAAGGATTTTATTCAGGATAAGGCTAGAGTTTTGGTGGTTGGTGCTGGTGGATTAGGATGTGAATTGTTGAAGGACTTGGCTTTATCGGGGTTTAAGAACATTGATGTTATTGATATGGACCGTATTGAAGTTACCAATCTCAATCGTCAATTTCTATTCAGGTTTATATTCTTGCTCATAATTCTCAACTTTATTTGATGTTTTTAATTTATTTCTATTGTGGGTTTTGTTATTAGTTTCGATGGAATTAGAATGCTTTCTTTTGAGTGCATTAGTTGTGTTGGAATTCATATTTACTGGGCAGGTTTTGGTGTAAGACTACTATTAAATGATAGGTTCGTAGTTTGTAGAATTGGGAAGATCACAAACTATACACTTCTTGCTGAGGTTTATTGATCTTTGGTAGTGCCATTGCCATCTGCATCAATACATCTTCATTTGAGTTCCATGATAGTAAAGCTTCAGTGTCTGATGCAGGGATCAACTGAATCCCGTGATTCTTAGTTTGCAGAATTGCTCACAATAGGCTTTTGATGTATGATTATGCTACCAATGACAAATTCAAACTTTTATCTTCCATATTAGTCAGAAGCTCCTGCTCCTTTCAAGGTAGAAGAATGTGTAATGAATTTTAATGCTAGAGCGAAAAGTTATCTTGTTTCCTGAATCGGCGATACGTTAAAGGTGTTCAACCGCCAAAGATTAAGCTCCTTTTTCTCAATTAGTTTTGAATTACATGACTAGGTATGGTGAAAATCCTGGGATTGTGAATTATATGACTAGGTATAGTTAAACTCTTGGGATATCAATGAGATTCAAGTTAATAATCGGATGTTGTGTGTGGATACTTGTTTAGATTTAAGTGAACTTAGAGTCCTTATAGTTAAGGCACACATTTATCTCTAGGGTACAAGGTTTCTCAACCTCAAAATATGCAATAAAGTCTATTGATGGTTGTGTAGAAACCTAGTTTCTTTCTTTCTACAAACTGTAGTTTGGGTAGACTACAAACCTTGATGACCAAATCACTAGATTGACATTTGAAGGAGGGGGTGGTCACATCGATAATGAATATTCTTTGACAATAAATTCACATATAAAATAGGCATGGATATCTATTTAACCAAAAAATTCGGCAGCAGTGTATAGTGCTTTTTGCCCTTTTACTTTTATTCTTACAAGCTAAGCGACACACGGAAATTCGTGTGTGGATATATCAGACTCGATTCTTTGTTTTTTCTTTTAAAGTGGAAGGTTTTATTTATTTATTTATTTATTTTTCTTTTCAGATGGTAGTTTTTTATTTTTATTTTATGTGGTAGTCTTCTTGTTTTGTTTTTTTTTTATTTTTTTTTTATTTTTATTTTTAAGAATTGTACCTTTTTAAAAATAAAAAAGATAAAATTGAGAGGGTATTTTGGAAAAGTGAAATTTATCGCCCAAAACCCTTTTTCCCTTTATATATAGGATATATATTTTTTATATTTACTTTTTTTTTTCTTTTCTTGTGTGTGTGTACAACACTCACTCTCTTACTTTCCTTTTGTCTTACTCTCGTCTCGTCAATTGGCGTGGAGTAAAAGGACGGAAAGGGGCGATTAAGTTGGATGTTGGATGAAAGAGGTAGTTATGAAAATTGTATTAATGGAATCATTGGTGTAATGAGTTAAAGTTAGAAGAATGGATGTTATAACAACAGATAGGTTTACTAAAGTTGTGCTCTATTGTCTTATATCCAAACAAATTTTGTTCAGACTTAGTTTCATGTGAGAAGCTTCCTTAAGGTGAGAAGGGTTAGCAATCTCAACCCTTTAAATGTAAATATCTACGGTCAAGATTTCAAGAACTAATGTGAGGATAAAAAACACGGTCAACTCTTGTAAATTAGACCAACATCTCTCTAAACTGTTTTCTCTCTCTCTTTATTTATTAAAAGCTTGTCAAGCTTCTAACCTCCATTAATGGTATCCAGCTATCCACTACTACCCTCCACTATCTTTTGAAGCTCTGAACTTTGAGATCCTTCGTCGAGCTATTTTCGGATCAATAACATGAATTTCTCTTTCATTAATTTTCTGCAATTAAAATACATCTTGATTTTTTTTTAATTATTGTGATGATTAATTGATTATGATTTCCATTATGAAGGATGAAAAATCAGAATTCATAGCTTGATACATCAGATATTGCATTGTCCAGCTAGTTAGATTGATTAATTATGATATCGAGAGACTTGATAGTGTTGTTTGTTTATCACAATTGGGAAATTATGAAGTGGAGACGTTAGGCATGTTGATTGGAGCAAAATCAAGACTATCAGAATATCAATCTTTCTTATGACTTGTAATAAAGACTATATAAATCACGACTATACTTTTGATGTATCTGCAATAATGAATTCGAAATGTATCTATTATATATTTATAATGTATCTTTAATGTATTTTCAAAGTATCTATAATATATCTATAATGTATTTTTGATGTATTTATAATGTATGTTTGATGTATCTATAACATATAACTAATGTACCTATAATACATTTTTGATGTATCTCTATTTCTCACCTTCTCACAATAAACATACTTCTCACCGGATCTCAATATATATATATATGTGTGTGTGTATATATATATATATGTATATATATGTGTATATATATGTATATATATGTGTATATATATATATATATGTATATATATATATATATATATATATATATATATATATATATATATAGGGGAAGACTCTCGTGAGAATTTTTCTTATGTGAGGACATTCTTTATGTTCTAAATCTAAATTTTTACTCGTATGTTCTAAATTTTAAATCTGATGTTCTAAATTTTTCCTTAGGTGTTCTAAATTAAATCAAATGTTCAAATTTAGTACTCACATGCTCTAAACCATAAATTAATTAAGTTTGATGTCATAAATTCTAAATAACTTGTTCCACAATTTTTACTTATATGTTCTAAATTTTAAAACGTGTGTTCTATGATTTTTAATCATATGTTCCAGATTTTAAAGCGTATGTTCAATTTTTTTACTCGTATGTTCTAAATTCTTTACTCACACTTTCTATATTCTACATCAGTTTGTTCTAAATTTTTATTCACATGTTCATAATCTTAAATCGGATGTTCTAAATTTTACTCATATGTTTAAAATTTCATATAGAAAATTTTATAAATTTTTAATAAGTTGTTCTAATTCTTAAATTAGATGTTCTAAACATATTACTCACACAAATGTTCGAAATTATTACTCATATGTTCAAAATTTTGATTTGAGTCACATGTTCTAAATTTTAACTCGCATGTTCTAAATTTTAACTCATATGTTCTAAATTTTTACTAACCTGTTCTAAATTTTAAATCAGTTCTCATATAAGTATGAATTCTCAATGGACCTATTCTCACCGGATCCCTCCCCTATATATATATATATATATATATATATATATATATATATATATATATAAAACCTTTGTTCTTTTTATTATTGCAACAATTGCATGTGGATGGCTGCACAAATTTTTAGACAGAGTTAAAGAGGGAGTTTCGGATAAAAAGATCCATGTGATTGTTAAAGAGAAGAGAAATACAAGTGGTTTTGGGTAAGGTCGTAAGGACAGACCTGTAAGGTGAACACATACCGAAAGTAAAATTGTTGCCATAGTTTTGAAACTTACTAAAATAAAGAAGTTGCAGTGATAAAAGAATAGTGGAAGTATATATGATAAAAGTTATCAGAGGCAACTCAAAAGTCAAATCTTCACAATCTCTCTAATTAATCAATTTGCAAGGTGGTAAGAGAGATTTCGTATTTCCTAGGTATCTTGGCAATCCTTCTTGATGAAAAATGCTCTATTGCAGTTTTCTAGGACTTGTTATGTTATACAAGTATTGTTTATAGTGCAAATTGTAGCTTATCTATCTCTGCATACATGCTGTGATTATCTTGTTGTAGCTATGTCCACACCATTGACGAATCATGTACATGTAATGCGGGGTGGATTCCTTGAGGAGAGGGATACTTAGGAGTGAACGATTGCAGAAGAAAGGCAGTTTTTCCATATAAAAAAAAAGGCCAGTTGAGGGTCAATCTGCCCTTAATTAGGGTCATGTGCTAACAATTAAGTCTCTACTTATCTCTTGTTTTCTTAACCTTTTGCTTTTGACTGAGAGCTGATTCCATTACCCTTTATAGTCATATACTCATTTATTTATTTTTCCCCTTGAAATGAGTTGTGACCTACTAACTAGTTTTCTCTATTTCCCATTACATGAATAACACTATCTGAGATTTTCTTTTTATTATCATTTCATTTAAAAAAAAACAAATATCATTCTTGTCTTTGAAGTCCAAATGTAAAATCTTGATACTTCTCAAAAGTTTCTTTCCCGTATCCAATACTTAACCTGTATTTGAGTTTGAGTGTCATAGCATACACATGCTCCATGATTGTCTACTCCACCCTCCGTCTTAAGAGGTTAACTTGAAAGTAGATACTAGTTATTCAAAAGGAAGGGATGAGAAAAAAAGACATAATAATAATAATTAAAAAAAAGTAGGAGTGTAGACCGTGAAAGGAGAGAGATGTAATTAAAAAACAATAGAGAATTTTCAATAAAAGGAAATGATGCACTTAGGGTTAACTAGAGAGAGTACTCTTTTTACCCTCTCATTGTTCCCCACATTACTTTGGGTTCTTTGTTCTGAATTTAGTGTTAGATAGCTGGTAGCCTAAGGGGCTATGTTACCGGGACCCAAATTGAGTTAGACATGGGTATAGATTTAGTGGATGTTTTTTTAATGCATAATGGGCTACTAGATACAACATACGGGTATTTTTTACGATTTTGGTTCATAATGAAGTGCCAAGTGTCCATATAATATTGGAGGGTGGAAAATATGTTTGAGGTGGAATAAAGAGTTCAAGTGAAATAGATGGTGCATAGGCAAAAACTAGTCTATAACTTCTTGGTGCATAAACCAAGTTAGATGAAATAATGTACTTTTGATTTTCTTTCCCTCTGGTTTGTTGGTTATAGATTATTATGGCTTAGAAATAAATCCTCTTAGGGGTTGGACATCCTGTCGAGGTAAATTTTTATCCAATAGCAATTAAATACCCAATTTAGAGAGACTCACAATGCGGGCTCTGATACCATGGTAGATTTCAAGACAGTATAAAGTGGCCCTATTTTCCCCATTATTTTAACATATTAGAGGAAAAATAAGTTTTTATTAAATTAAATATTCTCTTAGGTGAATACTGAATAATTAATTTTAGGAAATTATGTAAATAACCACCTCCAAAAAAACTCTCTTTTGTAAATAACCACCTTATTATAATTTTTTTTTTTATTTAACCACCTAACCAAAAAATAATCTGTGCATATGACCACCATTTAACAGTTCCGTTAGGAAAAATGTTAGGGGGGTCCACAAGTTTAAAAGCTACCCCCAATCCTTCTAATTTTTAATTCTCTGTATTCTTTTCAAGCACCCATCGTTAATTTCTTCAATATACCCACATTAATTCTCAAAATTCAACTAAACATACATTAGGATCCTCAATCTATTATAATCTGATTAAATCCTATTCAATTTTGCTCTTTGTATGCTTCTGTCAAAAGTTTAACTTTTTGAAGGGGAAGATGTAGTGTTGAAAGCCATTAGTGAACCTGCAATTTCAAGCCAAATAGTATTACTGTCAATTTCCAATTACATAATTACAGTGCAAACAAAAACAACTTGTTTATAAATTATAATTACCAATTTCCCGTATTTCAATTCAATATAAACCCTAACTTTCAATTTCAGAAATTAGCGACTACTTAACGCAATTACACTATGATTAACGAGTTTGAATTTTCAATTTCAGCACAATTAAATAACAATTACATACCTAATTACACCTTGTTGGCCGAATTAATCTCCTCCTACAATGTACTTGTTGCTCGGAATCGCTTTCCTTGGAGTTGAATTTTGGGAATTGCTGTTTACTTTGTAGAATTGCTCTTTCAATTTGTAGAATTGTTGTTTAGTTTAGGATGGATTTGAATTTTTGGAATTAATGTAGGTAGATTGAAGAAATTAATGGTGGGTAGTTTTTCCCTCAAAATAAAAAAAAATAAAAAAAAAAAATTGGTGGGTAAGAGAGTACAGAAAATCGAAAATTAGAAGAAGCAATTAGGGGTATCTTGTAACTTGTGGGCCTCCTTAACAGTTTTCCTAACAGAACTGTTAAGTGGTGGTCATATGCACAATTTATTTTTTGGTTAGGTTGTTAAATAAAAAAAAAAAATTATAATAAGGTGGTTATTTACAACAGAGAGTTTTTTAGAGGTGGTTATTTACAAAATTTCCTTAATTTTAAAAAGCGCGGAAAATTGCATCCACTTTTGGATATATGGCGTGTATCAAATCTCAAAAAACCAATCTCAAAAAACCACAATTTGTTTTTGAAACAACTTACTTTATATGTAATTAATGTTTAAATTGACAAAAGGAAGCACGATTTATTACCAGCCTCGAAGTGAAAAAAAGTACTTATTATAGACTTAAAGTGAAACAAATCTTACGATCAAAATGAATAATAATTAGAGAGAAAAGCAAACATTTTAGCTCACTAGCTCTTTGAACTTGTTAGGCGTTCTACTAAAACATCAGTAATTTATATGATGAATATTATCATTAACACAATTTATTCACTATAGATAAAGTTATAAGCTTAGTGGCTTTACCAACCCACTTCATGTCAAGTCCTCACCATCATACACAAAATCATCATCATTGTCACCTATTCTCTTAATTAGTCACTTGACAGAATGGGATCAATGGTGTCTTTTCTTGTGTATCGACACAGCAAAGCTGTCATAAAGACCATGTCATCAAATCGACTTTGTGACAAATTGGTTTGTCTTCTTTATGTTGTGAAAAATAAAGATTCTAAGTTACATCACCCATGAAATATTATCATATTTTAAAGTAAATTGACAACAGGCTACTTACAAGCTTAAAAACTCCTCGATTTTTCCCACAAGCAGTAGCTCTCCAAGTCCTAAGAACCTTTGTGACAAAACTTTCGAGGTTGGGACTTGAAGATCTATAGCAAGACCAACACTCTGATATTGAAAGTAAAGTAAAAAGTTAATCTTTATGTTCCTTTTGAGATAGAAAACTTCGATTTCCTTTATAAAATTGTAACAGTTATTACCTGATGATTTGGTGTTCATTTGTGTAAAGTGTAATAGACTAAGATTGATTGAACAAGCTTGCTATATAATTAAGAGAAGGATGGATAATTCATTGATTGACTAAGTGAAAGGTTTACAAAAGCAGTAGCTCAAGGCTACCAATCTCCTAGCAACTTGAGGTTACAACTCTCTAATGTATTCTTACTCAATTTCTGGATACTCTCTTTGCTGCACAAACTACAATACTTATACTAGGATTACTAATGGTCAAAGTTGACCTTAAGGCTAACATTTGACTACTTGACATAAATAGAAAAACCATAAGAAACATAATAGAAACAGATTGCTTTCTTTCCTTCTCTTCTTCTTAATTAATTTTGTCCTCTGCTTAATTGGAGTTGTCTTGATGCCTTGAAATGCTCCTTGCTGTTGCTGCCGTTTACTGTTGCTCTGGCTGCTTGACCTTTCTTCTATCATAGACCCGATTAGGCATTTGTCTTATTGTCATATAATAGCGAAAGAGAGTGGGGGATTTAGAATGAATTCAACTTTCAAAGTATCTTGTCTTAGTGTTCCACATTCAGAAAAACCTCGCAATGCAATCATACAAAGCTTTCTCAACTTCCTCACAACCTACTTGATTGGGATTATCACACCGCAGTGCACTTCCACTTTGATCAGCTCATGGTCTTTGGCGCTAGAATTAATTGAGTAAATTATTGTAAAGATGGGATCTGTTAGGAATTTTTGAAAATGAGAAAAAAAAAATGAGACAGGTATAGAGTTTATTTAATGATTAGAGATGTGAGAGGATAGTGATAATATAGTAAGAGTGGGGACTATGGGAGGAGAGAAATATAATAAATACCAATAGAAGATTTCTAAAAAAGAAGCGATCGCTTTAAAAAGGTCAATGCTCCTTATAAAACGTAGAGAGTATAGAATTCTGGATTTAGATAATATCCGACTTGTGCAAAGATTGATGAAGTAGATAATTCCAGCCTTTGACTAATGTAAAGATTTGGGCAAGCTAACTTGACTATGATTTCATTGGTAGTGTCATGTAAGTACCAACTATCAAACTCTGATGAAATAGAACTTGCTTCTCTTCTCAAGAATCACTTAGTTTTCATTTAGAGCACTCCTCAACTTACTTTTGTAAAGGCTCCTAATTATTTATAGAGATACTAGAAGTATTTAATTGTGAATTTTTATTTAAATTATTTTTTTGTAATGTGGTTAGGTTCTCCTCTTCACTTGAAATTTTGTAAGTTGATTGAACATTTGAACATAAATCTTTTTTGGACTTGTTTGAACAGTTCCGATTCTCTTAGAGTGATCCTACTGAATCTATGTGAACTCATATAACTTATTTGAATGTTTATTATTCTTGAACTTTTAAATAAATTGTCGAAAACTTAAAATTTTGGTAGAAAAGATGAACGAAATTCAATTGAATTAAATTCAATTGAATTTTGCATGCTTATGTGCGTCTGACTTTTAAATTTTAGTAAGCAAGCAAAATATCACGGCTAGGGTCCTAATCAACAAGGGCATAGAGGCTGTCTACCTCAATAGTCCCTTAATAACTTGATGATGTTGACACTAACAAAAAAGCTCTTTATAACAATCTATATGAAAGTTGAGAAATCCTTGATTGAAAGGTTTTGAGAAGTGAAATGGACTGTAAATATATTGGAGGGGGAAAGAGGCATATATTTCTTTGGACAATGGACAGGGAAGCATATTAACACATTGAATCTTCTAATGGGCATTTTTTTAATGTCCGTGCATTTTTTTAGTATAATATTAAAATTCATGTTTGTCTATTGTGGTAGATGTCGTTGAGAAAGAGACTATAGCTATTCTCCCTCTCCAGTGGCCGAAAACCTTTTCTTTGCTTCTCAGCCATGGCCCCATGAATATAAACCTTAAATAATCACTTGAAAAACAGAACCTGATTAGAGATGGGCTTCGTGCATAATAATGAAACAAATTGACAGAGAGGCCATTATAAAATAGTTTACCTATGTATGTGGAATTTATAGGAGGCGGTGCAGTTTTATTACACTATTTCGCTACTTAGTGACATGAAACTTCGCTTATATAGTGCTTTGATCCTTTATATTCCTTCGTTACTCAATCTTCCTAATCTGTAATATTCTTAAGACACATTCTCTTATATAGTGCTTTGATCCTTTATATTCATTCGCTACTTAATTTTCCTAATCTGTAATATTCTTAAGCCATCCTTGTTTTTTGGGGGCTAGGGCTGGTTAATAAGCTAACATAGATCTACATTAATATCTCCATGTTTGGTAACTTAAGCTGACCAGTCTGTTGTTAATTAATTGTTTGCAATTTTATGCTTATATGTGGCACTTTGATAAATACAATTACAAATAGGATAAATGGATAGTAACAAAACATACGACTCTTAACGTAGAACTGTTTGTAGCTTTATATTACATGTTAACTTTGGAACTGAACTAGTAGATAAAGTGAATTGTAGCTTGGGATTCTTTTATGTGCTGAAAGTTAATCCTGTATATTTGGTTAGAATTGCACAACCAAGTTGGCAGACTCAGCAACTTTTCACTGTCCAGACTCCAGATAGAATAACAGCGATGGAAAAATATTTGAGTTTTAGCATTCAGGCTGAAATTTGCTGGAAATAATTGTACAATATTATCTCTTCCTAACGCTTCTCCTAAAGCTGCTTTTGTTTTGCTTATTATCTTATGATGATTACTGAATTAAGTCCAATCTCTATTCTAGGATGGGGCAATACAGATGTTTACAAGGCCTTATTTTAATATTGCACCTGTTATAACACTAAAGTCCATGAATTCTGTCGAATTAAAATATTTAATTCATCTCCTTTCTACTCAGGCTTGAAGATGTGGGGAAGCCGAAGGCTGAGGTTGCTGCAAAACGTGTAATGGAAAGAGTTAGTGGTGTCAAAATTATTCCGCACTTTTGTCGGATAGAGGATAAGAATATTGATTTCTACAATGATTTCATAATAATTGTTCTTGGGCTAGACTCTGTTGAAGCAAGGAGCTATATAAATTCAGTAGCTTGCAGTTTTCTAGGTATGTTCCTTTCATCTTTGTAATTTTTATCTGCTCACAGAAGATTTAACAGCTACCTTGCTATGCCCTATGCTGACCTTTTTTTTTGTTTTGTTTTTTTTCCCCCACTCTCGTATATGCTGATCGTAAATTTGTAATCATCTATTTGTTTGTTGTACCTTCCTTTCTACCCAAATCTCGAACTCTGATAATGAGATCAAAATCTTATTATTTTTTTTATTTCTATCTAATTATAGGAAATGATTAGTTACATGTTGAAAATTATGTTATTGATAATAATTATTTTGGATTATATTCTAGTGAATCCTTTATTGAATTTCTTTTGAGATTAGAGGAGAAGTTACGAAATCAAATCTCTTTGTAAGAGGTAATCAATCATGAAAGCCTTGGACTGGAGTACATACATATGGACCACAAAAGAATGCATGTATTTCAGATACTATGTATTTAGTTTTCAGGAGTGGAGAGGAAAGGAGATTATAGTTGGCTAGGGCTAGCCTTTGTAGTTATTATGCAAACTCCATCATGTTCTGTTTCTGTTATGTAGTTAAGTTTGGCCTCCTATTCTTTCATGATAGCTGTTGTCTTAATTATCTTACAATAATTATCTAACTGCAGCTTATAAAAGAGTCATATTGCTATTTGTTCGTAAGGAAAGTGGGCTCTGTAATGTCGGGAAATGGTATGTATAGCAACCTGTACAGCTAACATATGTGAAAAGGCTGAGAAATTTAGTGAGTGTGATGGTTCAGGAAAGTCATTTGTTGTTGGTTTTAACGTTGAGTGTGACCCTTATTTTGGGACTAAGGCTTTGTTGTTGTTGTTGTGGCCCTTAATTTGTTGGGCATTTAACTCTGTAGAATTTATTTTGTTGTCTCTGCTGTTGACTTTTAAAGTCTCTTCTATAGAGACAAGTGTTAGATAATTATCACAGTTTGAAATTCTCTTGCTTCCTGAAGTGGAAGAATTCTTCTGATGGTTGCTTACTGGTCATCAACAACTATATATACTTGCTGGAATTTATTTGTGGCCTATTTATCTAATGTGATGTTTTTGCTTCTTAATACCTATGCTTATAGTGGCGTTTTTTGTTGCTACAGAGTATGATGAGAATGAAAATCCAATAGATGCGACTGTTAAGCCTATGGTGGATGGTGGAACTGAAGGTTTTAAGGGTCATGCTAGAGTAATCATACCAGGAATGACACCTTGTTTTGAATGTACCATCTGGCTTTTCCCTCCGCAAGTCAAGTTTCCGTTGTGCACTCTTGCAGAGACGCCTAGAACTGCTGCTCATTGTATAGAATATGCCCATTTAATTAAATGGGATGAGGTTGCAAACTTGTTCATTCTCATCTTTTGGATCTTTGTACTCCACCTCATGATTTTGTTGGTGTAATTGGACATTTTGATCAATGTGCAGATTCATAGTGGCAAAACTTTTGATCCTGATGATCCTGAAGATATGCAATGGGTCTATAAAGAGGTGGATTAGGTTTACCCATTTTTAAATTGATTAGAGATTATATCTCTTCTTTTGTCTGAACTTTCTTGTACTTTGTAGGCTCTCAAGCGTGCTGAGCTTTTTGGCATTCCTGGAGTCACATATTCTCTGACACAGGTATGTGGGCTTTTAAAGGAAGGAAGAGCGGGAAGAAAAAGGGGAGGGAAGGGAGAAGTCTAACTTCTTTACCCCTTTTCCATATTGTTGCTTTTCTTTTGTTTTTGTTGCCCAAAATGAACGTTTGGTATATTCTGTGCCTTAGTTTAGAACAGGACCACAGTAAAAAAAAATAAAAAATAAAAAATTTACCCGGTATATCCATTCTCCACTGTATCTATACGTTCTTTTTCTAAGTTTATTGCCGAGTGACAACTACTCACTATTGTTTCCAACCCTTCTTCCCTGTGAAAAATATGGAAGTGGCTGCCCACTAAGAAGGAGCTTCTTTTTTTTTTTTTGTATAGTTTATCAGTTTGTGATGACACCTTCCTGTCTCGTTAAATTAGACTTGTTTTTTGAGGAACTGCAATTTCAAAATGTACTAGTTCTCTCTCCTTCCTCGCTCAAAAAAGGAGTCTTTGGTCTTAATATCAGGATTGTGTTTGTGTAACTGGTATTTGCTCTAATTATTTTCAGGGAGTTGTAAAAAATATTATACCAGCTATTGCTTCGACTAATGCTATTATATCAGCTGCTTGCGCACTAGAAACACTGAAGATTGTATCTGGATGCAGTAAAACCATGGACAATTATTTGACGTGCGTTCTACATTCCCCTTTTTTTCTAAATATATTTTGTGTTCAATTTATTGAATTACATGCGTCTTACTTGTAACATGTTATGATTATTGCAGGTTCAATGGAGTTGAAGGTCTACACACTCAAGTGACACACTTTGATAAGAACATCGATTGTATTGTTTGTGGTCCTGGAGTTCATATGGAGTTGGATACTTCTTGCACTCTGCAGAAGGTTTATTCGAAATATTTCTCATCACCTTTAAGTACTTTCCTTTACTGTGAAGTTCATGATGTTGGGTTCCATGTCTTTATTGTGTGACTGTCTGAATGCTGATATGATGGCTTCCATTAGGCAATGGGACAATTAAGGTTATTTTCCCATTTGCATACCCACTTACAAGTTTCATAGTGCCATCTGCAATGTGTACAAACCCCACATTGGTGGCTACAAAATAGGATACAGGTCTGCCTCACTACCCGTTTGAACATTTGTTACTCATCCATCTGTCCACCTGCTCTAATTATAGTATACAATATCTTCTCCACCACAATCCAATAGGAAAAAAAAGTTTGCATAAGCTGTGCAATTCATGCATGTCATAGTGTATGAGCTCTTGCTTTGGTTATGATCTATTAGTATACTTCAATACTATAAAAATAAGGTCGGGCAACTGGGTAGAGGTATGTTCATTCATTACTTAATACGTAGTACTTGACTTACCCGCATAGCCACCCAAATATGGTGCAATATCCCTATTGAGAGTGACCTTGTGTTAGCTCTAGATTGTTTGTGTACCTAGGTCCCAGTTTTTTCATTAATGTGGGAAGAAGATGATAGAAGACTTAATAAAGGAATATTACAAGTTTTTATAAATGGGATGTAGTTTAGAGAAAGAGATTTTTACTCAGAGTTTAGTTGGGTTATCTTTCTCACAATTCGGGGGTTCTATCTTTGACAATCTTAACAGTCGATAGTCCCTTTGTGGAGGGTAGACATTTTTGGACTCGTTCTTGTGGCTAATTAGGTGGTAAATGATGCTTAATTGACGGAGCATGCCTATGAAGGTCATATTATTGAATAAGTTAAAATTAATGTAGATTAGATAATGACATAGAAGTATTGAATCTTTGTGAAGGAAGTGGATAAGTGGCTGCTTTTTCTTACTTGTCAGTTGGTCTTTGTGAAGGATCAGTTTAAGAGTTTATTTGGGGCATAACACTGAGGGATTCTCATCATATTTCCCTTTTTGGTTCATCTTTCAAATCGATTTTATTTGGTTTCTCTACATGCATTGCCAGGTTTTATAATCAAAAGCATCTCCCAATCTTGTTGGGATTTTGGTTGTTTTGAGTCCTGACATCATTCAAGGGAAATCTTGTATCATTAAGCCCCCTTCTATTGTCCCCCTAATGGATTTGTAAGTCACCAAGAACCTGTTGCTTACCTAGTTTTTTTTGAGTGGTTGTAGAGTAGCTATGATTAGAAATAGAGGTGGGGGTATCTTATGGGTTAGCCATTAATATTGTAAGCTTAATTCTTGGTGGTTTGATTTCTGGGGAAGAAGAAGAAATGGTGGGTAAGTCGTTATGGTGACAGCCACTCATACTGTGTTCCTCGTGGCATAATGAAAAGCTATTATGGACTTCTGCTTGAAGAAATTTTTCAGTCATGGGAACTTGTATCCCTGCTAGTTGCTGTTAACTAATGATCAACGGTAGTGCTGGGATAGTTAATGAAATTGATTTTGATGGGTCCTTAAGTTTTTTCCTTTCTCCTTTACTACAGATGCTTAGTTTTTGTAAAGATTATATCTTATACAGTTTTAATTACTGGGAATTGTCTCCCCTCTTTCCTTTTTTATTTTTTTAATTTTTTTTTTTTTTTTTATTAATATTTGTGTGTGTTGATTATGAGTTTGTTTTTTTTTTTCTTTAAACCAAATTGTTTGCCTACCTTTTGAGATACGGAGTAACTCTTATAAATAATGTTCGGACAAATGTAGCCTCTAAAATATTTATTTACCTATTTTCCCTCAATAATGTTAAATGCCTATTTTTTTTTGAACTCTAAAGAATAGTGTGCGGTCATTTAAACCCTTTATATATATATATATATATATATATATATATATATATATATATATAAAATTCACTCTGTTGAACCGCTTTTATTACAATTTTCAATAAAAACTTCATTCACTTGCCCCTATTTCACAATATAATTATATCATCCAAAAACTCTTTACACTGTGTATCCACATGCGTTATGCGTTTTATGTAAGGAAAGGAGGGAATAGTGTACTGAATTTCCAAATTTTGCCTATTGTTTGGGACTTCTCCATATGAGAATGTTTTTCTAATTTTATCTCAAGTTGGAAATATTATTAGGTTTATATGAAGTTCAGTTGTTACCAGATTGTATATATTGCATCAATGATACAAATTTTACACTTTTTTAATCGATTAATGTAAAAAGTACTTTTAATTAATCACCATTGAACTATACAAGGGTACAAGCATAATTAGATATGTGATCTTTGTCTTCTATCTTTGACTTTATGTGGTAAACACTTTACAAAAGCGAAAATTATAAATGTGCCCAAAAACTAGTTTCAAAGACATCAACTTATTTTAATTATTATTTTGATAACATCTGCTTCCTCAATTTTTTTTTTCTTATTTTTTATTTTTTTTATGTACCCATTTGATTTTGGGGATTGAGGAAAATATGTTATTGGATAGGGTGGTGTGGAGGGATAAATTCACGTCAACGAAATGTCGTGATTATATATATACTTGTTATATTTATTTACGTATTTAATTTGAATACATGGAATAATCACTTTTGGTTCATGTAGCCCCACTTATGGGATTAAAGCTTGGATTGATTGATTTAATTTTATTATGTTAGCCCACTAATGTTTTATAAATTGTATTGTTTTCCTTTGTTAAATTTTGCTTAAACCTTTATGTTTTTTTACTTAACCACTTTTGTAAAACTTTCTTGAATTTTATTTTGGCTCTCTTTAACCCCCCCCCTTTAATTTTTCTTAAATGCTCTTTTGTTTACTCACTTCACTCACCTTCTTCAAAGTCTTTCAATTGATTATTTTTGTTATGTTATTTTCTTTAAATTGTAAGATTCCTTTTGACAATTCATGTTAGCCGACCACAACCATTTTGGGACTAAGGCTTTGTTGTTGTTGTTGTACCCATTTTTATCGCATTTTTATGTGCGCTTTCGTAATTATCAATATCTTTATTTCCTTACTATCAAAGTTGTAAAAATTACCTTTTAGAAACTACATATTGAGCAGATTTTAACCAGACAGAATTTGTGAAGACTGTAGTAAATGTGTACATCTTTTGGAAACAGGAATACAAACTTTGACTTATCATTTGAATAGGACAGTTCTAGGTGGAGTGGCTAGTTCTTTTTCACGCTGTAGAATTGCAAGGATTATGAATCTACGATCATGCTTGTCCGTAGAGTAGATTAACTGTTTGCTTGTGCACACTTGCATTGTCTAGCACAAACCATGAACATTTCTGCTTGGTTTGGAACCTGTCATTAAATTGCTTGATTAAAGGGGGAGAGAGGGAGGGGGGGGGGGGGTTGGATATTGTGATTCCAATGAACTAGAGTATTGTTCCTTCCCTTTGCTGTCTTGTTGTATCTTGAAATGGGTGCTTAGGCTAACTTTTTTCTCATGGTTCTATGGTGCAACAGTTCCTTGAACTACTTGAGAAGCATCCGAAGCTGCATTTGTCAAAAGTCAGTGTAATTTTCGAAGGGCAAAATCTGTACATGCAGGGACCACTCGAACAGGAGACGCGATCAAATCTATCAAAAACATTATTTGACTTGATGGGAAGAGTTCCCAGTGGCACTGTTCATGTGAATGGCACATCTAGCAAGAACGACAAGAAAACATCTGGGTTAAGAAAATTACGTGTTTTCTTCAAGGGAGCCGATGGGATGACAGATATGGATACCGCTGGTGGTGCATAGTTACATTGATTTTATATGGTAGATAATATGTGAACTATATCTTGTTACCATCCTCTTCCTGCGCCAAATTCAATTTTTGTCCATTGATCGATGTAATCAGGACCTTTGGAGCCCTGACCATCATTTTTTTGGCTGGGTAGAGCTTATGCTTGGGGGTGGTACTTAACTACTATTCTGCCATTTTACTTTTAGAAGGGGTAGATTTCATAGCTGCTTAATCTGTATGCCGTTCACGGAAAGAGCCTTAGGTAGGTTGGTTCTTCCGTTATGTTGCTGGCAACAGGCTTTTGGCTGCTTGTTGCATTTCCTTCTAAAGTAGTGGGACTAGTGAACATCTGATCAACAAACTCATCTACTAGATTGATATCTGTACATCATTTTGGTACTTGTTTGGGGTGTTTTTAATAATTTTAGCAGTTGTTTCTCTTTGTTGCACTGCCACAGATGCTTTTTTTGTTCTGCCGTGACTTCTGGAGCTCCAGTGAGGTTTTGGATTCAAGAAAAGATGGGAGTGATTTCAACAGGGTCTTTTATTATTCTTTTGAAAAGTTAAAAGGAGAGGAACTTAGGGGTAATTTGGTTGGAGGTATTCATCAAAGGGAAAGGGAATCGATTTCCCTTGTTCCCTTTGATGTTTGTTAGGCCTTTTTTTCTATTCCCTTTGCCCTCATTCCCAGAGTCTTCTAAGTTGATTCCCCACCCCCACTAGGCTTTTTCATTCCTTTCCCAGCCACCACTATACCACCACCCTTTTACCCTAACCCCACCTCACAACTGAACCACCTAGCCCCCTCCTCTTTCCCATGCCGCCCCCCCCCCCCCCCCGAACCACCATCTTTAATCCGAAACCCCCCTCCCCCCATCCCTCTCTAGATAGACCATTCTGTGCGGCTAAAACCTCTCTCCACGTGCATCTTTAGTCAGTTGATGGTAGTTATCAATTGTATGGTGGTTGCGTTCCTTGTCAAATTTATATCTTCAGTCAATTGTGCAACCATTGCTAAGCTCTCTCAACGACTAGGGTTTTGAGGGTGGGGAGGGGGGTGGCTGTAAGGTAGGTGAGGAGAGGGGTGGCGATGGGTTGCATTTTGCACAATCGTCGGAGCAAGAGGGAAAGAAGAAGTGAATTAGTAGTGTTGTGGTGGTAGTGAATTCTTTTGTCGTTTAAAACAAACAACAATGTAAAACAAAGGGAGTTTCATTCTATTCTTCTCTTGTTTGTTTGTTTAAGTATTTCTACATTATTTTGGTCCAAAATTCAACAAATCCAGTTAAGGTTGATCTTATAAGAATGAATTGTCAATTAAATTTATATAATCTCTCCGTGTTTTAATAAGCGTTACACTTATCAAATCTGATCGTGTTTTAATAAGTGCTACACTTATCAAATCTGATCGTGTTTTAATAAGTGCTACACTTTCTTATTTGGCAAAAAACTACATTTAAATATTATATCTCACTCATCTCATGGTCCCCACTAATTCCACGACTACTTATCTTTCCTCTCACATTCATTACTTTTCAATAAATTATTAATCCCATTATCTTTCTTTTACAATTTTTTAACATTTCAACTACCTCACTCACCTCTTTTTTTTTTTACTACCTCCGTTACAGGTTATGTACAACGATTTGACATAAAGCAGAGAGGGAAAATGTCTAATCGTTGCACATAACCTGTAACGGAGGTAGTATTTAAGTCAATTAGATTGCCGAAAACTATGTGTCGGTCAAACTGTAACACTTATTAAAACACGAAGGGAGTAACTATTCTTTGGTATATGTTCATACTAGACCTCGCAAACAGGTCATTCGAGTTAGGTATGGGCCGAGTCAATTTCAAGTTGGGTCATTTTAGGCCGGCTAACATTCAAGTTGAGTTGGGCTGATTCGGGTATGTTTTGAGTCAGGTGTCGTGTAGATTTTGATTTGGGGTACTTTATACCCCTACAAGTGGACCAATGAGAGAATAACATGTGTTGCTCTTAGAGGTGTACAAATAGGCTCCCCAGATGGACAACACGTGTCACTCAGATATGCCCCCTGGGAATGGCGGCTTTCAAAGCCCAAATCCCAAGAGACGCCGCAAAACAGCGCTGCCCTAATCCCTAGGTCATCAAACCCTAGGATAAGGCACGTTTTTCTAGGACCCTATAAATAGGGAAATTCCCCCAATAATTAGGGCACCTTGAAACTTTTACGTCTTAATCATTAAGATATTTATTGCTCTCTAAAACAGAGAACATCTGAGCTCGGAATCAGAGCAGATAACCTATTTTCTGCACGTTTTACTCCGATTCTATACTAACTTAATCTTCGGAGGTGGACCTTCGACCAATCGAAGCTCCGTTTGTTTTGCAAGTACAGGCATCCTTGTCGAATCCAGTCTTCGAGTTGTAACTCTCACAAGGGACACAAAAACACCCTAAACATTTGGCGCCGTCTGTGGGGGAGAGTACCTCTAAGATGGCTTCACAAGATCTACCTATGTCGCCTCTACAAACCAATCGGCCTCTAGAAAATGTACTGGTCTAGTCGGACCATGACTCTGGTGACGATGGAGACATCGAAACCTATGTGGCCCATGATGGATCCCTCATCTCTAAGCGCACCCGTCATAAAGACAGGCGGGAGCGCAATGCTAACCAGGCGGGTCCAAGCAGGCCCTTTAGACAGACAAGTAAGCCCTCAGGGCGACTGACTGATCCATGCAAGGCGACAGGATCAGCCCCTGTCACTCGAGATGAGCTCATCAAATTCATGAGCAGCTTCAAGGGTGAAATCAAAGACTTGATCACCAAGCGGTCGACTGCTCCTAGAAAGGAACAATTGGCCAAGAAACCAGCTCAAGCATAAGTCGGTCAGGGACCGTCATCCGACTCCTCATCTTGCTCCAAAGGAGAAGGCCCGACCCCAGATCAACCTCTCAAAAGTCTTTATCCCAGAAACGGTAACATAAAAAGCCATTCGACATGTACAACTGGATGATAGCAAGAAAACATTTTCTGATGCTCGACAGTACATCGAGCAAAAGAAGACCCAGCAGCTGTCAAAGTCGGCATCTACGTCAACTCATCATGATAGCTTTCAGAATACCTCTGCGAGGCATTCTCAATCTATACATGGGACCCCGTCAAGAGGTCGTCTCGTCCAGTAGGGACCTCATGTAATCAGCTCGGCGCAGTATATGGCTAAACCATTATACAGGCCGCCTTCTTTGACCTACATCCAGCCTGCCTTTTTCGAAGGACATGAGGCATATAACTACCAGCTTATGGACTGGAAGCTTCGGCTACGAGACCTTGGGACAACCCTCATCGTTCTCCAAGGAAATAGCCGAGGCCGAACAACCGACCAAGCTTAAAAATGTTTTGGTTGGAACCTATGATGGCACCGCCTACCCAGAAAACCACCTTTTGGCATACACCCACCTCATGAATTTACAGGGCTTGGATGATGCCGCATGGTGTCGTTGCTTTCCAGCTACTCTGATGGGCATAACCCAACAGTGGTTTGGCAATCTGCCGGCTGGTTGCATCAATAGCTTCAAGACGCTTGCGTTCTTATTTGCTTCTAACTTCTCTATGAACATCCCTGCAAAGAAAACGAGCCTTGATCTAGGCAATGTGCAGTAGAGGGATAGAGATGGGATGCGCTCCTATGCCAGGAGGTTCAATCTGGTGAGAATCTAAATCTAAGGACTGTCTGACGGGGTGACTTACACAGACTTTTTCAAAGGTCTGAAGGACGGGTCAACCTTCAGTTTGAACTCATCCGCAAGAAAAATCTTCACCCTCCAAGGAGCACTGATGGAGGCGGAAGCCTATATACAGGCGACCGAGCTCTGCTCTTCAAATAAGCAGTCGGACTCAAAGAAGTATGACCGACAGAAGGAGATTTGGCCTACTCAGCCGTCTCAAAAACAAGAAGAGAGCAAAAAGAAAAAAGAGATATGGGTGGTTGATAACTCCAATCAGCTGCCCTAGAAGAAGAAAGAAGAGTGGAAGTCGTACGCTCTAAGATACGAGTTCCAAAAAGACATCTACTCCATCCTCATGGAGATAAAGGATCGGCTGACTCTAGAGAAGCCGACTCCTATGAAAGGTTCCGCTGAAAATCGGAACAAAAACAAGCACTGCCATTACCATGAGGATGCGACCATGACACAAACGATTGCTTCAGTCTTAAGCGAACGCTTGATTGTCTGGCCGACAAAAGAGCGCTAAAGTCCTATGTGAAGTCTAAAGTGACTTCCAAGGAGAATTTTGGGCAGTCTAGCAAAAAGACTCCCTAGCCTACTGGTAGTTCCAAAACCAATGAGGAGCTGGTCTACATAATAGCAAGCGGATTCACCGGGGGTGGCCCAACCATGCAGGGCACCAAGTACCATCATAAAAAGATGGTCCATTCTGTTAAAGAGGTACAGGCGGCAAGCACACCCGCCTTCCCCGAAGTGATCATCATTGAAAAGGACAGAGACAAAGTCCGTCGGCCACATGATGACCTTGTGGTCACAGAATGCAAAGTGGCAAACCAAAAGGTTGACCGTATCTTAATCGATAGAAGAAGCTCCTCAGACATCATCAGCCGCAAATGTCTATCCAACCTCAAATACAGGCCGGATAGCATGATGGATGTGTCCCATCCCCTTATTGTGTTTGGGAGAGGAGTTGTGCACCCAATCGGACGGATTGATCTGCATGTTCGCCTGGGAGAGAAGGGAAGCGGTTAGCACATGACCATCTGGTTTCTGGTGGTTGAAGAGCTATCCGCCTACAATCTCATTCTTGGCCGACCCACTCTTAACGAGTGCAAGGTCTTCATTATCCCTTCCCTCATGCTGGTCAAGTATGAGAAGGATGATGGAACAATTGGCTCCCTGAACGGATACTAGAAGATGGCTCGAGAATGCTATCTCTCGAACGTTAAGCCCGCGGCAGCTGCAGCATGCAGCCGGCCAGGGTAAAGAGCCAATAGAACTTGATGAAATCAAGGATGACCATCCGACCACACCAGTCGCCAAGAAAAGAAAAATTAATCAGTTGGTGGTGGTCAAGAAATAAAAGCAATAGCAATCATTGACCGGGGAATGGTCAGATGACCTCCGTCCCAAGCCGGTTGGAGAGCACATTGATATTCCTCTGGACGATAGTCGGCTAGAGCGAACTCTTAAGGTGGGGACGACTGCTTTTGCTAAGTTAGGTGCAAGCTTGCACCAATTGCTGAAAGAAATCAAAGAGATTTTTGCCTTTGAAGTGGAAGAGATGCCAGGCATTAGCTTGGATCTTGCTGTCCACAAACTCGTTGTGGACCCTAAAAAGAAGCCCATTCAGCAAAAGAAAAGAAACCATGGCTAGGAGAGAAGTCAGGCGGCAACCGCCGAAGTTAAAAAGTTGTTAGACGTTGGGTTCATTCGACCTTGTAACTTCCCTGACTGGG